AGTTATCCTGTTATCCATCTGTGTTTATTGCACCCACATTGGATCTTAAACAACTTGTGAAGTCTCTCTCCTCCTGTATGTGTTGTGGTGCCGGCTCCTCTGTTTGGCTCCTCTGCTGTCAGTACTTTCTTTCTCTACATTTATGTTTACAAAGAGTTTATAAAGAATGAAGAGCACAGACATCCTTCAGTATCAGTCATTCCTCCTGTCTTCTGTCCACCTGGCTGCTTTGTCTCAGCCGGAAGAGAAGTTTACTAAAATAAGCTTTTGCCCAAACATGCGTACTGTGCATGTGTAAGCATTGCGGCAGTGGCCGACTGAATTAGGTTTCACTTACGCTTTACATGTGCAGATATATTGATAAAGTATTGGCTTTTTACTCACACATATTTAATTACCATATGCAGCAAGTGTACTTGCCGTCAACTCGAGTATCCTTCACTTCACCAAAGCGGCTTATGTGCCTACGCTTGCATGTGTGTGTGTGTGTGCGTGTGCGTGTGTATAGTTGGAGGAGCTCAGCTCGACAGAGAGAGCAGAGTAAAAATGAGCTGCAGTGTGAAAATGAATGACATCGAAACATTAAAACAGTACTAATAAGAACACCAGTAATGTTGATGCTTATCAATACTATGATCTTTGAATATTTGGCACCGGGCTCATTTAATACTGGGTTTCGGAACGCATACCTACCTTCAGATAACAAAACGCAAAAGACTTGCTCGAGAAACATTGTAATAAAATAAAAACTAAACTACTGTCATTCGGTAGTCTTCCTTCATACTACGGGATCAAAAATGTGAGCTGCCGTGGCTGAGACGCTCTTCCCAGGCTTGTCTTTGTTGAAGTGCCAGTTAGCATCAACGTTGGCGCTTAGCAGTCTGTAGCCAATCAGAGGCAGAGCAGTAGCAGGTGTTCCCGCGAGGAGCTCCCGCACATGAGCAGAATGGATCGGGCCTCTGACAAAGAAGACCCGCTGCCTAGGTAGATATCAATGGCTTTTTCTAAGCTAAGGAAAACTTAACGACTCTTAGTTTCGGGTGACTTAATATATAGTTATGAATATTATATTCAATATCTGCCAATAACCCCCTCCGCCTAAATGTTACACACTGTCCCTTTAAGTATACCCATGTATCTCCCATTTTTGCCATGTCAGAGCTCCCTTGCAAGCACGCCCCCACGTTCCTTATTATGGCGACCTCTCCCTTTCACTAGGGGTCTGTGTCCTGTTTGCTGTCCTTCCTGTGTTTCAGGATGTTGATCGGCAGCTGATGAGCCCCACCTGAGCCTCGTGTGGTTCCAGCTATAAAGACACCATCTCAACATGGATCCCCCTCTTTTAACTTAGCTGACACGGCTGCTGTTTTGTTTTGTTTGTTTCAGACATTTTCATCAACACATGCTGGCATGATTACTGACTCTCCATGTTCGTTTAGTTTAGAATCAGAATCAGTATCAGAACCGTTTATTGCCAAAGGTATAGGAATTTGACATGGTGTGTGGTGTATGTACTGTTAAACAATCAACAACAATCAACACAGTGCAAAAAGTAGAAACATTAAAATGTACAGTAAAATATAAAATAAAGTGCACAAACAAACAGATAACAGTACTATAAACAAGTGAGATGTAAGTGTTAAAAGTGTCGAGTGTATTTAAATAACAAACCGAGAAGGGATGTTCAGGGGAGTGACTGGTCGGAAATTGTCCTGGGGATGACAGAGTCAGTGGGGGTTTGTTGATGAGCCCAACTGAAGACGGGAAAAAACTGTTCATGTGGCGTGAGCTCTTAGTCCTGATGGACCGCAGCCTCTTGCCAGATGGAAGGGGCACTAACAGTTTGTGTCCAGGGTAAGCGGGGTCTGCTACAATCTTTCTTGCTCGCTTCAGGGTCCTTGAAGCGAACAAGTCATGGACGGATGGCAGATTGCAGCCAATCACCCTCTCGGCAGAGCGAATGATGCGCAGACTGTGATGGAGGAGCAGAGGATGGACTCGATGATGGCTGTGTTGGAAGTGCACCATCATTGCCTTTGGCAGGTTGAATTTCTTCAGCTGCCTCAGGAACTACATCCTCTGCTGAGCTTCTTGGTGATGGAGCTGATGTTAAGCTCCCGCTTGAGGTCCTGGGTTTTGGTGGAGCCCAGGAACTCCACAGCGTCGACGAGGGGAGTCACACAGGGTGATAGTGGCAGGTGGGGCTATATTCTTCCGGAAATCCACAACCACCTCCACTGTCTTGAGAGCGTTGAGCTCTAAGTTGTTAAGTCTACACCAGGTCACCAGATGGTCAGTCTCCCACCTGTAGGTGGAGTCATCCCCACCAGAGATGAGTCCAATGAGGGTGGTATCATCCGCAAACTTCAGGAGCTTGATGGGCTGGTGACTGGAGGTGCAGCTGTTCGTGTACAGGTAAGAGCAGAGGGGAAAGAACGCAGCCTTGGGGGGAACCGCTGCTGATGGTCTGGGATGCTGAGACATGCTTTCCCAGCTTCACACGTTGCTTCCTGTCAGACAGGAAGTCTGTGATCCACTTGCAGGTGGAGTCGGGCACGTGCAGCTGGGAGAGCTTGTCAAGCAGCAAAGACGGGATTATGGTGTTAAAGGCATAGCTGAAGTCCACAAACAGGATCCTGGCATAGGTTCCTGGGGAGTCCAGATGCTGGAGGATGAAATGAAGGGCCATGTTGACTGCGTCGTTAGACCTTTTGGCTCTGTAGGCGAACTGCAGGGGGTCCAGGAGTGGGTCGGTGAGGGTTTTTAGGTGGGACAGGACAAGGCGCTCAAAAGACTTCATAACCACAGAGGTCAGGGAGACGGGCCTGTAGTCATTAAGTCCTGTGATCCTTGGTTTTTTGGGGACGGGGATGATGATGGAGGCCTTGAAGCATGCTGGTACGTGGCATGTCTCCAGGGAGGTGTTGAAGATGTCTGTGAACACCAGAGACAGCTGATCAGCACATTGCTTCAGGGTGGAGCAGGAGACAGAGTCTGGGCCGGCTGCTTTACGGAGTTTACTGTATGTACTCTTTCAATAAATGTGCTTATTTATTACTTTTAACTCGTCTGGTCTCCCATTCATGTTGCTGCCTTCCAGCCGGGTTGTAACAGATTTTTGATGATAGCGATTTTAACTCTATTGTTGATTATTTGCAGTTTATATGCTGGATCTTCATATTTGTGCGATTGCTACAGCTGTCATCTTTGCAATCTTCTGCATTATTTATGAAGAATAAATACAAGTGAGTTATTAATGTTGTCAAAGTGGGAACGTTTTTCCTTTCACCCCTGTTTCATTTTAAGGATTTTTATCTTTAGAGACATCATAATTTCACAGACTGATGCATCATTGGTCTCACAGTCATCTCACATACCTCTGCAGAAGTACAATGTTTATTTTTGTTTCTGCCTTTTGATACGGTCTTTGCTTAAATCTGAACATAGATTTACATTTCCTTATATTCTGTTCTGCTTTTTCTATGAACTATTCAGTAGCAGAATCTGAAGGTGAGAACTGAAAGTTGAGTTGGCTTCATAAATTGAGATGTTCTCACAGTTAAACCAAAATTAACTCAAAGATGCATTTTTTATATGTTAAAGCTGCATTAATATATATTTGGCCACGAGGGGACAGGATCAACCCCAAAACAAACTTGTTCACACACAGTTGCAGCAGATGTAACGCAACATTATTGTTCCATATCTTGTGGACCCCATTCACACCTGGTAATAACATGTGATCTGTATCAGGTCAAACTGATTCTCACTCAACCTGACCTGGAAAAAGTCATTCATGGATTCATCTTTTCAAGACTTGACTACTGTAACTCCTTCCTCTCTGGCATTAACCAAAAGTCACTCTTTCGCCTCCAACTAGTGCAGAACGCAGCAGCAGCTCGGCTTCTCACTGGCTTTAACAGACGACATCACCCCAATCCTGGCTTCTCTTCATTGGCTCCCTGTTTGTTTTAGAATTGATTTAAAGATTTTACTGATCACTTTTAAAGCACAGATGGGTCTGGCACTGAAACATATAGAGGAAATGTTGACCCCTTATGAGTTGACTCCTTATGAGATCCTCAGCTGGGGCCTTCTGGCTGTTCCAAAGTCGAGGCTGAAAGCGAAAGGTGACCATGCTTTTGCCATCAGGGCCCCTCTGCTTTGGAACGACCTGTCTGAGGAGGGCCGCACAATCAGTAATCTCTTTTAAATCACTTCTTAAAACCCATTTTTTCTTAAGAATGTGTTTACACTGTACAGATTTAATTCATTCCTATGAAGATCTGATCCTCCTCGTCCTCCAGGGAAAAGATATCCAGATGTAGATCACATGTTAATGTATAAATGACCAAGTGTAAATGTGATGTAACTCTTCTCTTACACCTGAGAGAAACCTGTTTCTCTTTTGCTGTTAAATGTTTGAATATCTTGTTGTAAAGGAGGATACAAATTATAGGTAAAAACTGTGTGTTTGTTGCTACAATTGACCCCGTTCACATTACATGTCATCATTTGACTTTAAGTTCATATATTATTGATTAATGCAACTTAATAAAGAGTCAACAATCAACATTTTACACTTCAAACGATGCTATTTATGAGGGGGAGTACACTGTTATTGTAGTTGTTATAAAGTAGTTGTTATATAGTAATACAATAAAATCAATAACCCATATCACATTGGGTTATACATATTGCTAATATACTGTATTAAAAAAAACTTTTGACCTAGATTGTTTTTCTTTTATTCATTTTTGTTATTAACAGAGATATAAAATACACCAGCCCTCTATGATTGTATGTGCATATGTAGACTATTTAAATTAATTGTTTGACATGTTGGGAAATACACTTACAATAATAATATATTAAATACAATTCACCTTTTTGCCAAGAAAAATATGGAACCAGACACCTGATGTTTGCTTATCTTTACATGAAGATTGGAAACCTCTTTGGAAAAATCTGCTTTCCTAAAGCTTGCAATTTAAAAAATATTTGATGTTGTTACTTAATAGAGGTGCTGGTTGGAGATTTTTGTCACCTTTGGGAAGCCGATACAGCTGTTTCCAGTCTTTAAGCAAAGCTAAGCTAAGCTGCAGCTTCAAATACAAACGGACATATATGAGTAGTATCAATCTGCTCATCCAACTCTCAGCAAGAAAGCAAATAAGCATTTTTCACGAAATGTATTGCCTCTGGTATTTATTTAATTCAACTTCATGCCATTTTGGTTATGCTTGAGGCCCAACAATGGTGACAAACAAACAAGTACTCTGACTGAGCAAAGTTGCACTTACCAATGCATTTTATTTTCCCTAATTAATTGATGTAATTTCAAAGAGAGAATCAAATATAGTTTACTTGATAACAGAGAATACCACAGTAGTCGTGTATAAAAACTGCAGTCATCATGCTCTTAATACAAATGACCATTATAAGCATGATTAGATTCTTTTGGTGTTTTTTCATATGTTTCCATAGACGTTGAGATCGGCAGTGTTAATCGTCCCCGTCATCAAGGTCCTGTGAAAGATTGAGGTCATTATTGTCACAGATGTGTCATTGTTCTGACGTAATTATTGGGAATAAATCAATGGCAATTGAATAGTACCTCTTGGTAATTGCAGGATTTTGGCTAATAACTAGAAGAGAGAGAAAAAGAATGACATTACTGTACTTCAATATATGATATCTGTATTTTATTAACTGTATGACTTGAATCCACTATGTCCTCTTTAGGCCTTCTGTTATATTTGTATGTAATAGAAATCAGTAACATTTAAATGCAGAAAATATACGAAATGTACTAGTTTCATTCGATTAAAATACGTGATCAAAAGTTAAGTTTGATTTTACTGTGAAGATCAAAGTGTGTGATAAAAATCAGGTGATAAAATTAACTTATTAAATCCGTCAATCATCGAAATAGAACAGAAAATATGCAAATGTTGTGAGGCATATCAATACATCTTATCAAGAATGCCAGAAAAGCATCAAACATGTGCACAGGCATGCAAATTACAGTGAGGCCAACCACGCAGAGGCCTAAACAAAGCTACAGGGAGAGTACAGAACTAGACACGTAAATGGCATTGAGTATTTAGAAGGATAAAGACCTTTGATCAGAACGAGATGGTCTTGAGACATCAGAACGGATCCTGAGAATTTCACAGATTAAATGTATCATCAGTACAATTAAAAGTTCCTATGATAGTGGACTGGATGAAAAATAAAAAAAAACAATCACAAACCACATTTCTCACCTGCGAGACATCCTGGAGAGCCGGTTCCACATGCTAATTGTGATACAGAAAATGACATAATGATGATGAAGGAAAATAATTAAAACACACTTAATAATGTAGCTCTATTAATATTTTTACCTGCCATCCCCACTTTGGAGCTCTGCTATGCGTCCCCTTGAGTAGACAGAGAACAAAATAATATAAGAGCATATACTAAGATTATTTCTTGCTCAAAATTGTTTTTATCTGGATCGGTTAACGCCTGTGCACCGCCTTACTCACTTATATCTCTTCACCATTACAATGCAGAAGACTCCAAAGACCACAGCTGTAACAATCGCCACCACTGTTGGAATGATGATGTGGTTATAGTTTTCTGTACCTGCAAATAGACAGATCCATATATAAGGTCAGTTTTTCCTTTATATTTCACATAATAGAGGATCCAGGTCATAAACCTCCAATGAAGAATTCAACAACAGTGTGAAAAGCTCTCACGTTTAACATAGAGATTCAGGACTGTATTGGATGTGCTCCCTCCATTAAATTCAGCTGTGCAAGTGACCTCGCTGTGGTCGTCCTTCTCCTCAGGAGTGAACGTCAGGATGGACTGTGCCTCCCAGTAGCCAAAACGAATTTCTTTCTGGACTTCAGTGACCACATCATCTGTAGTGACCGTACTCCATTTGAGTTTAGGCACATAGGAAGGGCAGGTATGGGTGACTGAGCAGGTGACAGTGTAGGGACGTCCTTGAATGGCTGTCTTTGGGTGAGTCAGCGTAGGTTTTGGAGGATCAGCTGTAAATAAAAAAGAGGAAAACCATGATGTTACATAGAAATGGTGTAGGTGTAGATTTCTGAAATCTTTTAAAGATATTGGGAAAGCTGGTGACATACGGAGCATTCTGAACGTGACACAATCCTCCACAAAGGAGAACTTGTCAATAGTGGACAAATCAGTCTCTGTCCGTGCTAGTTCAATCCGGAAACAGAAAGGGCCGCTGTCATGATCTTTAATGTCAGTCATTTCTAAGGTGCAGTTGTTCTGACCCAGATATCCCAACAACCGTGTGCGGCCCCTGAAGTTTTCCAAGATCTGCGTTGGATCCTCATGATAGATGAATTGATCTCGAAAAGTTGACCGCTGCCAGATCCCTCTGAGTCTGGAGGAGGACAGCTTTTCTTTAGGATGGGTGAATGAACAGGGTACCACAACACAGGATGTGACCAGGACGTCAATATCTTTCACAACATTTGCCTTCCACTCTCCAGTAAGCACAGAGCTGATAATAGCTGTAAGAGAAATATGCATTTGATAAAGAAAAGACTCCTTTTGGCCATACTCACTTTTTTTTTTTTAAATGGGGTGTAGACATGAGACTGTAAACAAAGAGGTGACCTCAATATATTACCTGCCAAAAGTAGACAGAATATCATCATCCTTGTCCCTTTGTCCATACTTCGGAGGTTTTGGTGGTCTAATAGAATGGATGCTAAAATGAAAAGAAACACAAACCATAAGAACATAAAGTACCTACTACTGCCATATGCAAATTATAACACAGCTGGGTGGAACATCTTCAAACAGCACAAATCTTCACACGCAAGAGCCATTTATTTAAATAGGAAATACTGGTATTGATAATGTCTTCATACAGAATCACATCTGAAACAACACATAATACATTCACGTCTTTTTTATTTTGAATGGTTCCTTTCATAGCCTATATGAATTGCCTGCACTGTTTTTAAAATAATAACTAATTTTCATGAAGTTGTACACAAACAAACGATAATGATGAATAACACAAAAACAAAATCCAGTGGTCGAGTCTATATCAAACTAAAACACCCTGAATTGCTCAACTGCATCGTCCTTAAGCCCAGTAGTGTATTAGACACTTTAAAAATTACATTTTCCAAACAAATGTGGTGAACAAATATTCATTGGATGCGTTATTTTACCATAGTAAAGTTAAATAAAAAGTTCTTACCTGATAAAGCTGCTTTCTGGCTGATCAAGGCTGCTTTTTCTGCTAAAAGCACCTCCTTGAGAATGATGACATGTGCTGTACTATTCTGCGGTTTCGTTGACACAAATATGGACTCTAAAAGCAACAGAAAAAAAACGGCAGGCCACTTGAGAATACAATGGATATTGAAGGGGAAGGTGAATGAAGATATAGTAGAGGCAGTATACTGCTACACCAGTGGAGTTAATGGTGTAGAAAGCAGGGAGTGGTCTCTTAAAGGGCGGCAGTAATCTAAAATGATACTTTCATTTCAGCCAAAGGACCCAGCTAAGGACCAGCAGGGATCTGCAACTAAAATATGTGACACTACACATTATGTTGTGATGTTCTCACAGTTAAACCAAAATGTCCTAATAATGCATTTTAAAATATATATATTTAAATACATTCATGGCAGTGGGCAGAAGAAACCCCAAAACAAGCTTGTTCACAAACTGTCTTTTGAACCCCATTCCCACTCGGTATTAATATGTGATTTGTATCTGGTATTAATAAGTTATCCTGTTATCCATCTGTGTTTATTGCACCCACATTGGATCTT